CCAGCATATTTGCAAAGGTAGTTGTTATGGTGGTGGTGGTGGTGGTGGTTATGATTATAATATCCCACTTTTTTTCTGATCCAGGTAGGATACAGAGAGTTGGATGGGGATCCTCCCATAGTTTATCCATTCAACTACTGTCAGCCCTCCCAGGTAAATCAGACAGGAAACACAACTAGGTGAAATAATTCGACTTTATTGTAAGGCTACATTGATAGAATCTTGCACATCTGAAAGTACAAATCTCCTGCCCTCCCTATTTACCACCTGAGTAGTTAGGGTGGGTCATTCCTAAGTTTCTTTCTCTGCCCATTACTCAGTTGAGGACTCCTTTTTCTTTTATCTGATTGTTCGCGACCTAGGTGGCGTCTCTTCCCCCCCCATCTTCCAAGATCACCCTCACATCCCATCACAATTACAGGCTGGTGAGGTAGATTAGGCTGAGAAAAAGTGGCCCAAATAATCCAGTGAGCACCAGGATCAAATGATAATTTGAACCTAGGTCTCTCTTGTCCAAGATTGGTTAATACATTACACCAGTATGAAAATACATTTTAAAATAATATACAGAAGTGTGTTTTGTGAGGATCTGTGATGGAATGGTTTGATGAAGGTCACGCTCGGGGAGATAAGCATTTCCTTAGCCCCCAGCAGGAGCGTGGGAAGGTTAAGAAGATGAGACTGGCACCACCCTAAGGAATTCACAGTGTTTTGGCTGGCTGGCTTGGGAAGTGTAGATTAGTCTGGAGAGATTTTCTGTCTGAGAGGTTGAAGCTAATTAATGCGACAGAACTGTATCTGTACTGTCTCGTGGGGTTCTTTGGGCTGAACCTGACAGGATCTGAGTTTAGAAATCAGTACTTTGTAAGAAAATTATGTTAAAGACATGTGCATGAACATGTATTGATGTGAGCTTTTAACTATGTACAGGTAGTCTTTGACTTATGACCATTCATTTAATGACCGTTTGAAGTTACAACACTGCTGGAAAAAGTGACTTATGACCAGTCTTTGCACTTATGATTGTTGCAGCATCTCTGCAGTCACATGATCAAAATTCAGGCACTTGGCAACCGGTATGTATGTACAAATGTTGCAGCATCGTGGGGTCACATGATCATCATTTGCAATCTTCCCAGGGGGCTTCCAACAAGCAATTTCAGTGGGGGAAGCCGGATTCACTTAACAACTACATGATCTGCTTAACAACCATGGTGACTCGCTTAACTACCATAGCAAAAAAGGTTGTAAAATTGGATGCGGCTGAGTTAACGACCACAGCAATGGAAGTTCCAGTACCAATTGTGGTCATAAGTTGAGGACTATCATACTGATGCTTTGAACCTCCCTTGACATCGGACACAAGGCAGGATATGGAAAAGTACTGGAGGAGAAAGTGGTTAACTGTTCTACATCTTTCCAGATACTGACTTGAGGATAAGCTTCACACCAAAACAAGAGTTTTGTGTGGCCAGAGAAAGTGGCAACAACATTTTATCATTTTCAAAAAATTCCCTAAACTAGTGTGTTGGACAGATTTCTCAAGAACACACAAATACATGATTCAAGTTGATAGAGAAGAAATAATGTTCTGGTCATAAATCCCTTGTTCTTGAGCAGAATCAAAACATAGATGGCTGTTCCAGGGATCCCTGTGCTTTTAAAGCTGTTATGCTCCTCTTTGAACCTTCTTTCACAGTTTCCTTTTCTTCTCTACAATGGAGTGATAGATCTCCTCAGTCATGGGCATGTAGTTCTTTTCTGAGTCATCCAGGAAGAAGAGGGGCTCACTGATAGTGGCAGGATTGAATCCATCCCTCACCAGATGACCTTTACGCTGCTTGAAAGTTCCTGTGATCTCCAGAACTGCCTGCAGAAAGTACAATGCAGCAGTGAGAACAGAATCAGGAATTAGTCCTTCATTGTTGCTCTGCTTCAATAACAAGGCCAGTGAGTGGTGCTTCCATTACTGTTTTAATGTGAGACAAGTTAAGGAAAGTAATGGATGGATTCCCACCAAGTGTTATCTGCCCATGAGAAAATTCACACCAATCACTTTCTCAATATGTAGTGAGGCAGGAATGGGCAAGTGTTGGGGGTCCTTAGAACAGCTGGTTTAACCACCTGTCAGATTGCCCAACTAACAGGTCACAGGTATGGAGGTGGTTCTGCCTGTGAGTCAGGTTGTCTCTGAACGTTACCTAGTACACTAAACCCACGTCTCAGAACAGCCTGGCTGATAGGACATAGCCACAGAGGAGAGATGTGGGAAAAAGCAGTAGGGAACAATCACTAAAGAGCCATGACTTCCATGACTAGTGCTGCAGGAGAATGGCAATATTAGCAGGGCGTGGCTGTGACCAGCAACATCTGGAAGTAGCCCCTGAGATAGGCAAAATGGCTTAGGAGAAGGCAAATGGGGCTGCCCCCACAACTAGAAAAACAGTAGAGAATGCAGCCACACAAAGACCCGGTCAGCAGAAGCAGTGCAAAACCTGTAATGTACTGTTTAGTGACAGGTTGAGCAATAGAGTTGGCTCTCTTCCTGGTTTAAATGGAATTTATGTGCAGCACAGAAATAGGGGCCTCTTGAGAAACCGCTAGACTTGTTTCCGAGAGTTGAAGTCCACACATCTTAAAGTTGCCCAGGTTGAGAAACACTGCCCTAAAAAGTAACTAGGGTGTGTTCATACTGGGATTAGGGATGAATCCCACGTCTTCTTGCCACATTCAAGCTATTGCAGGCCAAGGCAGCTACCCTGTGCGTAGCAGAAATTCCCAACTGCATATCTTTGACTATACCAGGAGAACAAAATATTCACCACTATTTCCCCCAATCTTCCCACCCTTCATCCAGTTGATATTTTTTCTGCCTGCTGTTTGCCATTACGGTGTTCCCCCCGGTCTCCTCCTGCTTTCCTCAATCCTCTTTATGGGCTACTGCCTTCCTTAACCTTCTCTATCCCCTCCCTGCCTTGTCTCCTCCAGCATTTTGTGCTGTCCTCAATGCCCCCCATCTCCTCCCCCCAACAACCATCATCCCGTCACCTTTTTTAACCCTTACCCAAACCTTTCCACATTTTCAGCATCGCCTTGCACAACCAACTCTGCCCGATGCTTCTCCCCAGCTTTCCCATTCTGCTTTCTCCAACCCATCTAATATACCATAGCCAATCCAGTTCCTCTGTGTAGAAATACTGAATTTGGATATATAAAACTTGGTTCTTAAGATTTCAGATGAATTTATATATACTGTTTCTTTCCATTATTCCCATTTTTTGTTCCTAATTAGGTTCTTTTTTTTAAAAAAAAAAAATTCAGTGTACACCTACTCTTTAATAAAATGAATGCATTTTAAAGTGAAGAAACTCCATGCAAGTACAGACTCATCTGACAGCTTTCTTTCCTAGCAATTCTTAGTAGAATTCATTCCAGTAGTACTATTGATGAAATCAAGCCTACAGTTACTTCTCTTCCTCTTGTTGCTCTGATTGGCATCAGCACTTCCATTTCTACTACACCTTATGATGCTGAGGTCTGTGTTTTTGAGTCATTTGTCCTAATGCTTTCTTAGCTTGCTGTGGTGAGAGCAGACTAGCCTAAAACTACCATTTCTCACCTGGATGCGAATGAAGCGAGGTATGGCATAGCTGGGCAGATAATCATTGGTATGTACAAACAGCTTCTTTCCATCAAAGGAAAGCCCATCTTTCAACCGGATGGCTGCCATCCCAATCTTTCCTTCATGCCCTGGAACAAATCAGAATGAGATAATTAACAGTAGAGCTACATGTTTTATGCAAAAAAAAAAAAAAGTTATTTTCTAGCTTTCATTCATTATTTAGCTTCAAGCCTCAAGACTGCATTGGGGGTGCATTTTGGGGTACTGAGCAAAGTCCTAAGGAAATTCGATTGAATGGTTTCATAAGCCCTTAAGTTTTGTATATGGGCCAAGCTGTATCCCATATAATAGCTGGGCAACTGTTTTAACCATAAACAATTTGATTGCCGCTAGAATGTAATTTGCCCCCTGCTGCCTATAAAATGTAGCTATGGCTAGTGTGCTCTTTTGGGCAGTAGAAGTGGCATAATTTACCTGGGCTGAATCTCCTAGAAGCCTGAAATACAACACTCAAGTATTTAAAACATTTGACTTGCTCTCATTCATGGGAGCCAATTGCCCACTTGTGTCTTTGTCTTTTGTTGGAAAAAACTAAAACTTTAGATTTATCATAGTGGATCACTAATTGTTCCTCCTTACAGGAGGGTGCCAGGGTTCTTAGTGCCTGCTTCATACCTACAGAAGACAGGGAGAGAAGAACTGCATCGTCGGCATCGAGTAGGACTGGGAGATGTCTGTCAGCTAATTTAGGGGCAGGAATATCAACTCTCTGGAGGGTTTCAATCAGAGAATTGATATATATTGTACGCCACTCAGAGTCACATTTTTCATGAGATGGGTGGCCATGTAAATATGATGAAATAAATAAATAATTGTTAAAGAGCAATGGTGCTAAAATACATCCTTGTTTTGCCCCCTTGGCAGTCTGGATAAAGTCAGAAAGGTCCTCTCCCTGATTACATCTCGCTCTAAGGCTGGTTTTATCATATAACTTGTTGTAGTCAAGGCTTGCCAGGTCGGTAGAGCTCGGCTGCTGCTCCCTCCTGAAAGCGCTCTACGTGGGGCTGCCCTTGAAGAGCATTCAGAAGCTTCAACTGTACAGAATGCAGGTGCACGGGGAGTAAATGGTGTCAGAAGTGCGACATGTATAACACCACTACTGCATGAGCTGCATTGGTTGCTAGTGGGTTTCCAGGTGCAATCCAAGGTGCTGGTTGTCACCTTTAACATGCATGGCTTGGGACCAGGTTACCGAAGGGACCGTCTTTTCCCAATAGTTTCTACCTGTCCAATCCAGTCCAGCCGGTTGGGCGTGATGCAGGTCCTGTCAGCCAAGGAATGTCGAATCCTGTTTACTCGGGGTGGATTATTCTCTTGTCTGTTACCCAGATTGGACTTTGGTGAATAGGTACCTGGCATATAATTTGCTAATGATGTTCAATAAACTAATAGGCCTATAATTAGCCAGATCATTCCTATCCACAATTTTATATAAGGGAACAATTATATATATTATACACCCCTCCAGTCCTCTGGAATCTTTGCTGCGTGATTAATGTATGAAAAGAGAGACGCCAATACAGGGGCCCACCAATTTGAATTGGATTTAATTAGCTCGGGGGGGACACAGTCACTCCCAGGAGCTTTACTATACTTAAGCTGGTTAATGAGATTTTTAACTTCCTTGCATGTGACTGGGGGCCACTGCGGTAGTGAGGATAAAGGTACACCCATCACATAGGTATTAGTGTGCAGATCACAATAAAGGGCTAGGAAGCAACGTACCCAGGTACTTGAGGGGATGCTACAATACAATTGTGTACTGTTGTGCTGTTATGGGAACCATTTTTTACAGTATGCCAGAATAGGGAAGGATTTTTGGACTTTGTAGCTTCGATTAGCTGTGACCATTTTTCCTTCTGATCTTGGGTTTTTTTCTTTCTGAGCAGAGCCTTATACTGTCTTTTCTGCTCCTTTAGAATTTGGTGGAATCTGGTGAATTGGCCTTCAGTGACATAGCCTAGAATTCCAGTAATGCTGCTCTGGCAGTGATGCAAGATTTGTCAAACCGACTCTTAGAACCAATCCCAATCCCCTCCTGACTGGGTTGGTATTTGTCTTCGTTAAAAAAGGCTGGAGCTTAGCTATGAGATTGTGATACACATCAAATATTCTGTTATCTTGTGGGGCGGTTGGGTCTGAGTGGGCCCCAAAGTTACAGAGGTTTGAAAAGTATGCAGTTCCTCCCTCTAAGTAAAACCATCCTACATTCAAGGGAGTGGTTCCATCTGACCCTGTAAGAGCCACCTCCCATCAGGCATTTTAAATGGGCCTTAACTTGGTTCCTAGCTGGACCTTGCCTAAATTTGCAAGTGAAAGTTAGGGGAAGGTGGTCGCTTTCAGACCTAGGGACTATGCCAAAGTGTATAAGGCAAGGGGCCAGGTCTCTAGAAATTATTAAATAATCTGTCAGGGATAACTTGTGAGCTGACCAAAAAGTATATTGCCTAGGGAAATCATTTTGGACAGAGCCACTCATCAGGTAGTACACTTGGGCAAATTTTTTAATTAGATATGCTGTTTTATTATCTTATTGTTCTCTTTTTTCCCCTGTTAATGAATTGCTGTACCAAATGATTTCTCTTTTCCTACTGTAAAGACTGGTCAAAGACAATAATAAAGAGATTTGATTTGATTTGATTTGATTTGATTTGATTTGATTTGATTTGATTTGATTTGATTTGATTTGATTTGATTTGCCGAGAGGTCAAGAAGAGCAAGGGTGAATGCAATCCCTGGTCCCACCAGAGGTCAACCAAAAGTACGATCTACCCAAAAGGGCTCAGGTCACCCTAAACAAGGCCGCCATATGGTTATCAGTGGATGCAATAAGGGCAGAGAAATATTAATGTGCTCCAGGTTCCAACTTTAAAGCATTCTGGATGGGGAGGAAACAACTCTGGATGGGAAGGACCTTACTTTGACTCAACCCTGGCAAGATAGCTTTGGGGTTTTGGCCCCCCAGGGTCTGGTGATATGCCATCTTTAACTTTGGATGGGGTGGCGATTTGGGGGTCCTTCTGGATGTGCAGCTATTCCTGGAGGGGCAGGTGGCAGCCATGGCTAGGGGGCCTTTGACAGATTTGTCTTGTGTGCCAGTTGCACTCTTTCCAGAGGCTTTGCTCACTATCACTCATGCCTTGATCACTTCCCGTTTGGATTACTGCAATGCGTTCTACATGGGGCTACCCTTGAAGACCATCAGAAGTTACAATGGGTCCAGAATGCAGCAGCATGTGCAGTGTTGGGCATTCCAAGGTTTGCCCGTGTTATAACCCTGCTGTGCGAGCTGCACTGGCTCCCAGTTTCCTTTCAGGTGTAATTAAAGATGCTGGTTATCACTTTAAAGCCCTACATGGCACAGGACCAGGTTATATGAGGAACTGCCTCTCCCTGAGGATATCTGCCCATCCCACCAGGACAGATTGGGTAAGCACACTCCAGGTCCCTTCCCTTAAACATTGTCATCTTGTGGGCCCTTGGAAGTGTGCCTTTTCTGTTGCAGCCTTTGCCCTATGGAACACCCTCCCCTCGGAGGTCCGGCAGGCCCCCACCTGAGGTTGAGGTGGCATACAAGTTGACAAATAAATAAATTAATAGGTTAATTTATGATTCAGTATATTGCACAACCTCCCAAAATAGGTAAATCCAGTAACCAAGTTAAGCATCTTGTGCAAACAAGTTCTCTAAATGTTCATTGGCAAGGGTGTGTGTATATGTATATAGGCGTTTCAGACTTACCTGGGACTGGTACTCCATATACACTGACTTCCTGAATGAAGTCCAAAATTGCCAATGTCATCTCAACTTCAGTAGTGGCCACGTTCTCCCCTTTCCAGCTGCAAAAACAGGAGGGCTTTATTTCTTACAGGGTTAGCTAGAATGTATTAATAATATATTATTTAGCATTTAGATCCCACTGTGAATTGCTTCACTCACAAGAGCCCCTTCTGGCATTATGATCAGTGGCAAAATATTACTTAACTCATTCAGGTAAATTCAATGGGGATGAGCCTACTGGCAAACATGCAGAGAATTCCTAACCATAGAGGAAGTTATCTATTATGGTCGCTCAGCCACGAAAGATGATGCAAATGTTTGTGCAAATAAATACACATGGCTGACAGAAGGTTAAAAGAAAATGACAGTGATAATTACTTTGTTAACCATGCTCATGGAACAAATGAGTGATTGATGATAATATAAGCCTGGATTAGGTCACCATCACATGCAATCTAATAAAATATGTTATTCCAGTAGAAGAGAATATATGCAGCTCAAGGTTGAACTGTGGGTTTTTGGTGCTTTCCGAGCTTGGTTGTTTCCCTGTAGACAATCATGACCAGGCTAGGTAACATGATCAGTGCCCTGTATTGGGTTGGCATTGTATATAGGGGGTTGCATGTTTCTTTGCCCTGCAGTTGTTACTTGGCTTTCAGTATGTATTATAGCAGGGTTCCTCAACCTTGGCGACTTGAAGATGTGTGGACTTCAACTCCCAGAATT